GGCAGCCGCGCTGGGCTGACCTTGCGGAGGAAGACGACGTGGCTGCCGGACAGCCGGTGGTGCGTCGGGAACCCCCAGCTCGGCTGGCATCGACCCGCAGGGACTGCGCTCTCCCCCCTCGCCGGGGTGGATCGAGCTCCCTCCCGTGGTCGCGCCGGTGCTCTGTGGCGGTCTCCCCGCCGACGCCTGGCCAAAGGGGATGCTCCCCTTGGCTCCTAAACCGCTCGTCGCCGACGCGCACCGGCGTGGGGCGTCGTTGGGCGGTCGGACCAGGGGAGTGCCCGGGTCTCGTGGCGCTCCTCCACCCCTCTGGCGCCCTCCCTTCTGACCGTCGCATCGCCGGACCGCCCGTCGGCTGCTCCGGTTCGCCCCGTTCTCGTGCGTCGCTCGCCTTTTAGGCCATTCATTGCATCTTTTGGGTCTTCCAAGCTCAGCTACTCACCCCGCCTCACTCCCCGGCAACCTCGACCTGCGCTCGCCCCGTCCCGGACGCTGGTACCGGCCGCGGCGGCGGAGGCGGCGGGAGGGGAAACCCTCGCTGCCCCCGCGTCACCTCGCGGGTTGGACCGACCCCAGACGGGCCGTCCCCAGCTGGACCGGCCTCGAATGGGCCTAGCGATTGGCACGTGGGCTGCCCCGATGTTGGGCTGGGCCTCTCTGCCCCGATCCACTCCTGGGCTGCTCGGCCCGCCAGTCAGATTGATCTGGCCTCCAGCTGGTTTCCCCAGACCCCCATCCTCTCCACTGAGGCGCAACACAACGGCAACCCTAATCCACGCGCCCCCCTCCCTCCCCGCCGCCACCCAACTCCCCTTGGCGCTCGTCCCGCTCTCGCAGCAGGCCGCTCCCTCCGAACCCGCCCCCATGCCGCGGGATTGGGGTGACGAGGGGACCCACCCCAAGAGACGCGCCGAAGACCGCCGCGAGGCCGTGCGCCCATCGCCTGAGGCACTCCGCCGGGAAGACGACCTGCGCCTGCACTTGTCTTCGCGCGATGGCCGTCGATCCCCCCTCCCCTCGAGCTGACCGTCGCTCGCCCCTCGCACTGACACCCGCTCGCCACCATGCCGTTCGCCCGCGCCTGGGGCGGACTGGCGAAACCAGCGGCGTCGCTCTCCCTCTCCGACGCGGCGTCGAGACGATCGCTCCCCTGCCCGCTCGGGCCGCTCGCGCTCTCCGCCCCGTCCCAACCAGCAGCTCTCCCAGCCCGCACCTACTGCCCCAAGTCGCCGGTACCAGCCGCCCCGTGACGAGCCGGCCTTCCCTCCCAATGCTAATGGGGCCGGCCGTGGCCGGCAGGGGGCCAAGAGGAAGAAGAAGCGGGGTTTGGGTCGTGGTAATGGTGCAGCCCCTCCGTTGGCTCCGGCTCGTGACCCGGCAACCACCACCCCCAACCTCGTCCGCTCCACGAACCAACCACAAGACCTCCAGAAGTGCTTCAACTGCGGCCTCGCCGGCCATTCGCAGGTCGCCTGCACCAGTCCACAATGCTGCTACATTTGCTCGGACGCGGGTCACCCAGCCTTCCTATGCCCGGACCGCCCCGTGTCAGAGGAGATCATGATGTACGGGCATGGCATTAAGGGCATGGGCTTCTTTCACATCGAGCTGTCGGACCTCCGCCCTCCATCTCCCTCGTTTCAGGCGATTGTTACGATTCGGGAGGGGGTGGCTTCGCCAGAGATGCTTGAAGCTGAGCTCAACCACCTATACCACTGCACCTGGGATTGGCAGGTTACCATGATGGACGGTAACCAGTTCTCAGTCATCTTCCCCGACGCCATCAGCCACGGGTACGACACCCGCAGTGGTGACATCACTCTCGCTCTCAACAAGCTAGTGGTGGACATCTCGGTGCCGATCCGTGACCCCTTGGCGGTTGCCGTCCTCGACACGGCATGGATCCTCATTGGTGGCCTCCCCGACATCGCATGCTCGGAGCGTGTCATCCGAAGCATGTCCCGAATCCTTGGCAAGGTGGTTGTGGTGGACGAGCTCTCCCTCCGAAAGGAGGAGGAGGTGCGCGTCAAAGTCAAGTCCCTCGACTCGTCCAAACTACATGCCAAGATCCGGGTGTTCTTCAACGACCAGGGCTTCGACCTCAGGATCTCCCCCAAGTCGCCCAACCACGTTGGCCGCCCACGCATCCCCGACGACAACTTCCTGGGTGGCGACACTGATGGGCCGGGTCGACACAGCGACCGGAACCCACGCCACAGCCACAACCCCAACTCGGAGGAGGATGACGACGATTCCGAGGATAGCCCGCCCCACCCCCGGCTGCCGCTCCTGCCACGAGGGGTGGCACGGGGACCAGCCGCTCCCACACCGTGGCTCCTTCGCAGCCAGCTGACGGCAGCGACTCCTCAGACGCCAGCCTCCAGGTGTTCCCGGCGTCGTCTCCACGCTCCCCCGGAGTCCCGATCGGCGCTCCAGCCGTCATCGCCACTGCCATCAGCTCACCTAAGCCCCTAGCGCTGGAGGCGCCCGCGGTTGGGATGGGTCGGTCACGGTCCGGCCGGCTACGGGCCTGCATACCGCAACAACTCGGGGCGACCCGGATGATTTCGGGCCCCTCCCAGACCCGGCTCCTCCGGCCGCCCCTTCCCTGCCCTCGGTGGCAAAGGCTTCGGCTGGGCCGAGGATGGGTATGGAGCAGACACCGACCCTCCCCGCCCTGGTCGCCCCGGTGCGCCTGGACCCGCTGGTGTCGGGTGTGTGCCATGCTGACGATGCCCCGCCGCCACCACCTGCAGCTTCTTCGGTCCTGCCCGAGCTCTCCGCTTCACCGACTCAGCTCTCATCCCACGGCCCGGTGCCCGACGGGGCGACGGCGGCGGTGACCACCCCGGTGGCTGCCCCCCCTCCCCCCTCGGACCGCGGCGTACTCCAGGCGAGGCAGGTCGACCTCGACACCAGTGACGTCCTCTCGTCGCAGCGCCAGGATCGAGGCGGCCAGACCGGAGGGCAGCCCAGCTCTGCCCATCCCTGAGCGAGCGGAGCTCCGGCCGCTTCCGGGAACCTCGAGCCAGGTACCCCGTCCATCCCCGTAACCCCCGCTACATGCTCGTTTTCCGCTCTAGAGTCCGCTCCGTTAGGCCACCTTGCTAAGGTGGCAACAGATTCGGCCATCATCTTCCGGGGGGAGGTTGGCCCACCGCTAGTCCAGATCGAGGCGATCCGTGCCCGCGAAATCCTGAACGGGCGTCTTGCCGAGACCCGTGCTCGCCTCCAGGATACCTCCGTCTCCTCCACCGTGGCTCGCGGGATTCCTCTTCCCGTGCAGCGGTTGTTCCGGCGGAGGTCCGGGGCCGCACTTGTTCTCGCACCGCTGCCCTCCGTGCTCAGAGCGCATCCCGAATATTGGGGTCAAGCAGCCCCTCAATGGCTTCGTGATGCGGACACTATTCTGGAACATCCGCGGCTTCGGTCAAGACGGCCGACGACGCCAACTCATCAAGTACATGCGAAGCGAGCGAATAGACATTGTGGCCATCCAAGAAACGACGCGTATGGAGTTTTCGCTGTCTGAACTCGAACATTTGAGTTCAGACTTATTTGCTTGGCACTGGCTCCCTTCTAGTGGGAGCGCAGGCCACTCGGGTGGTATCCTTCTAGGTGTCAAGGATGCCACCTTTGAGGTTGGTAGCATGGACCGTGGTGAGTTCTTCGTCAGCATGGAAATCTTTGAGCGGGCCCTCAACTTCAAATGGGAGGTCATTGCCGTTTATGGACCGGCGGACCATAGCCGCTCAGAGACCTTCCTCGCTGAGATCCGAGCGAAAGTCTTGGCCGCCCAGCTTCCGGTAGTGTTGGGTGGAGACTTTAACCTCATCCAGTCCGAGGAGGATAAAAGCAATAATTTGGTCAACTTTCCCCGGATGCAAATGTTTAACGACTGCATCGCGGAAATGGGGCTCCGGGAACTTGATAGGGTCGGCGCCAGATTCACCTGGACTAACTGCCAGGCCGGCCCGACTTGGTCGGTCCTAGACCGGGTGTTTGTCTCCCCGGAATGGGACTTGCGGTGCCCCCTCGCGTCGCTGCGCGCGATTACTAGGATCGGTTCCGACCATGACCCTCTACTTCTCTCCTCTGAGAACGAGCGACCCCCCCAACCACCCCGCTTTCATTTTGAGACATTCTGGCTGAATAAGCCCGGGTTCGCTGCTGCGGTTGCCGCTCGGTGGTGGGAGGCTCGGGAGACACCCCACCGCTCCCTCTCGGCCGTCGACTCCTGGCATTTTTGTGCTAAACGGTCGCGCCAATTCATGAAAGGGTGGGGTGCTAAATTAGGCCGCGACCTCCGCGAGCGGAAGATAACTCTTCTTGAGGGCATCCAGGCACTAGACCTTCGGGCAGATGCCGCGGGCCTCTCGGCTGAGGAATGGATGCTTAGATACGACTTGGA